TATACATACATATATATATATATATATATATATATATATAATAACTTTAAAAATTATATATGTATATATATATAAATGTTAAATATATAAATTTGAAATTGAATTTAATTAAATACAATATAAATAGTAGAATAAATGTTAAATATAAACTTGAAACTGAATTTAATTTATTAGAATTGAGATTTGAAAAGTAATTATGTAATTGATGAAGAATTCAAGAAATATTAAGTTGTAGAATTTTATTGTATTATTTATTGTGTTTAATAATTTAAGAATCACGGTGGTTTTGAATATTAAATTGACTATTTTTTTTGCCACATTAATATTGAAAAAGAATAATTAAATATACATTAATTTTCATACCTAATGATGGAGAGCTTTTTTTTTTGTATATTGATAAATAAAATTACATGAAATATTATCCAATTTCATGCAAAATAAATTTTGGAGGGCTCCTCGTGGAACTAAATTTGCCTCCTCATCCAATTAACCCATGAGCAACATCATTACTCTCTTTAGGAATATTTTTGTAATATACATGTCAATCATGAAGAAAAACTCTCTAATATTGGAAATAATATGTGCATGTTTATACTGTGAACAATCATATTGTGAATACTAAAAAATAATCGAGGTGATAGGTTACACAATCTAACTCACAAAGAAAAAATTTAAATCTCTCCTCCCAATATAATCACAATCTTATCTCCAAAGCAAAAAGTTTTGCATGTAAGGAGTTTCCTCCTTCGAACAAGTTCGCAAATTTCTCTTTCCATCTACCAACAACATCTCTCACTACTCCACCAATCTTCTTTACTCGAGAATTCTCTAGTCAACTTTCATCAATATTCTTTATTCATATCCAAATTTCTCTTGAATGAAGACAATTACACACAGCATATGATATAATTTTTATCTCGTGTGAACATCTCATGCAAGGTTATAAAAGTTAAATTTCTATATATAAAAAAAGTTTATGATTATAAAATCTAATTATCTAATTTATTAAAATTATATATTTAAATTTTTAATTCATAATAATTATAATAATTAAATATCTTATTTCAACATATTAATAATACTTATATATATTATTCAAACACTTTACCATTAGGTATATTTACTTTGATAACGTTAAATTTGTTTTAATTTTTTCTTCAAATTAAACTACTCTAACATTTTAATGAAATTCTTACTCTACCAATTACTTATTAAATTAAAAAAATATTATCAATTATATGTATTTCTTATAAAAAAAATTAATTAATAAACAAGAGATATTTAAGATTAATTCTTGTAAAAATGACAAAAATAAATAACTTTAAATTTTGCGTTTTAGGAAAAAGACAGAGATTATAAATATTTTTATAAGTAGTGTTCGATGTGATTTAGTTTAGAATTAAAATAAATAAATAGTTTTAGTTAAGTGTATTTCTTACAAGAAAATAATTAATACACGTGATATTTAAGATTGATTCTTATAAAAATTATCAAATAAATTTTTTAATTTTAAATAAAAAATAGCGGAAGTATAAATATTATCATAAGTAGTGTTCGATATGATTTAGTATAAAATTAAAATTGATTTAAATTGAATAAAACATAGTTCTTTTTAGATTCTGATTTCTTAGTTGTTAATGATTTATTTGATTTTTAATTTCTTTTTTCGATTAATGAAGCTCGTCACGTGAAAATGATTAACCATATAATTAAAATAAATGGTAAAAAAATATATTTAAGTAAAATACTTGTCTCTGGTAAAAAAAAAATGTTATTTATTACCATTTGATTGCCGAATAAAATCAACTTCTTTTTTATTTTATGGTCTCATAAAAATAGACTTTGTGATGATTTCATCCATTTTTTAAGTTTTTTAATTAGTGAAGAACCCCATGCAAATAATTAGCCATAAATTATTCGTGTGATAATAAGTATTTTGTTAAAAAAATTAATATAAAAATAAGTGTCCTTTAACCCACAACAGATAAAACTATATAAATATATCATATAACACAAATATGTGTACAATGGAAATACGGTATTATATCACACACATAAAATAAGTTGTGATAGCTAAATAAAAAAAACTATTACAGAACTAAATATCTAAAAATATGTATTGAATATTTCATTTATAAATATTATATATGAAAGGAAATTAATAAAACATTTCAAATTAAAAGTTAATTTCACAAAAAAAATGCATAATATAATATGAAAATTATTAAATACACAATGAGATATTTTATTACACTAGAGAATATCTACATATACATACACACACACACACACACACACACACACATATATATATATATATATATATATATATATGATATTTAAATAAATATTAATATAATTTTTAAAATTGTTTAAAATTATGATTTAATAATTTAATCTGAATATTCTCTGTTTATTATTTTATGCATTTAATTATTAGTGAGTTAAAATTTCCTTATAAGCAATATATTTAAATGAAAAAGTAAAAGCACGCATATCATATAACTTATATAATGTTTATATATTTAATAAATTCAATATATTTTCTTGTATATATAATAAATTATTAAAACAATTAGTAGGTAAACAAATTAATTATATTTTACAAATCTTACACATATAAATGAAAATAAAATAAATAAATAATTAAATGCCATCATGATATCATGATTTTTTTTCATTTTTTTTAGAAAAAAAATATTGAACTTTATAAAAAGTGATTTTTTACTTATTTATTACTAAAGTAAAATAATATTTACTTTTTTATGTATACTTTGTACTTATTCTTGTTTATAATAATTATATGCATTTTATTGAGAATATTTTCCAAGATGTAGAATGATTTATTTTTGGGTGAACCCAAGTGTGTCATGTCTAGGAGCTAATAAGGTTAATCCTAAGGATACAATATTCGTTTAAGGGTTGATATTTTTCAATAAATATATATTAATTTATATTAGGTTCTATATTTTCTTTTTAAAATAACATTCGCTTAATATAATCATATTTAACTCAATTTAATTGAGAAATGATAGCTATTTGTAGCTTTTTGAAAGAATTTTTTTAAAAAAAAAATTTCGAATTTGAAGTCAAAGTAAACTTGAATTAAATATGATTATTATTGAGTAAAATGAGAAATATACAAACTTCAATGAAAATG